GTCCACGGCCCCGCCCACAGCCCGCAGGCCCCGCCCCGGCCCGCAGGCCCCGCCCACCGCGGGGCAGGTCTGAACAAGTGCACTGCGCCGACCCGTGAGCCGGGCACCTGCAGGTTCAGGCGTTCAGGGCCCCCACCGGAACTGAGGAGCTGGGGGAGCTGCAGCCTGGGGGCCCCGCAGCCCAGCCAGGGCCCACACCCTCGAGATGGAGGAGCTGGGTTAGGGACGGGAGGCGGGGAGGCGGCTAGCCCCGCCGAGGCCCTGGACGGTGTCCGAGACCCCTTTTTCTCTCTAACTCAGGGACTACCCCGGAGGCTGCAGGGGTCAACGGGACAGATGCCGGCCTGTGGGGGAGGCCTGGGGTCCCCTGTGAGAGACACTCCAGTCTGGGAGACATTGGCCTGGGAATGTTGGGAAGGCGTGCTGGACTGAGAACCAGAGTGAGAGTGGGGGTCTCCCAAGCCCCCAGAATCATCCCCAGCCCCAGGCGGGGTCTGAGTCTGTACAGCCGGTTGGCACAGCTCTCCATGGGCGGCAGGCAGTGCTCCCTGCCATGAGAGGCGGCTCCTGGCCTACCTCGGAGGCTCGGCACAGGACTGGCGGGACTCCGGCGGTCCACCCAGGCCTGAAAGGACTGGCATGGGGCGGGGGTGGTCGACTGAGGCTGGACCAGGCAGAAAACCCCACTGGGTGCTCCCCGGTGACACAGTGGGCCTCAGTGTCCCCATCCCTGACACGGGATTCCTCCCCGGGCCCGGCTAGAGCAGAGTCCCGGGTCTCCCAGCTTGGGGTGAAGCTCCAGGAGCCCATGGAGCTTCAAGCTTTCATGGGCGGTAAGGGCTCGAGGTCTGATCAGAGACATGCAGAGACACACACAGGAATAAACAGAGACCTGCAGCTGCAGTCCCAGCACGGCAGGGCTGTGGACATGTGCCACACACACATGCCACGCATGTGCCCTGGACACTGGAAGCATGTGGCTTGCCCACACAGGAGGCCCAGAGGGCTGCAGTGCAGTCTGGGTTTTATTTGGAGAGGGCTTTTTTCTGTCGGACAAAGACGGGTTTGATGGGATGGGGACAGGAAGGGGGGCACGAGAGCCCCTGACCCCCCTCAGCTTAGTCCCTTCACGTCTGTAGTAGGCGGGCTGGGCAGCCCAATGGGTAGAGCCCACTTTCTGGGTGGGCAGCCCCAGCCATGATGAGTCACCTTCAGGAGTAGCTTCTCCAGTAACGCCCAGTGAGTCACTTGGGGCTGGTCAGTGGGCACTGGGAAGGTGGCCCGAGCCGTGTCTGGGTGGGCGAGCCCAGGCGTAGCAGCAGCAGCAGCAGCAGGTGGGCCCCTGCAGGAGGGCCGTGGCCAGAGCCTTCCTGCGGCCACTGCCCAGCCGCTTGGCCTCACAGGCGTCCCTCTCATCTCGTAGCCGCTTGTTCAGCTCCCTGAGGAAAGGGCGTCCAAGGACTCTGAGAGGCCCCAGCATTCTGGGGTGGGGAGTGTAGGCTCTAAGTCTCCCTTGGACCAGAAGACAGGTGTCTGGCTGGGACTGCAGCTCGAGGGATGGAGGGCAGGTGCAAGGAAGGGCTTCCTTGCAGTGGGCTGGGTGGTGGTCAGGAGTGTATGGGAGCTGGGAGCTCCAAGCTGCGCTGAGCCCCTTCCCTCCAGCGACCAGCTGAACGAACCTAAGGAGCTCCAACTGCCGCAGGAGGCTGAGCTTCTCCTTCTGCATGTTCCTTGAGACAGCAACCACGTCTCTGCGGGCAGGCAGGAAGTGGTGACCTGGGTGCAGGGAGGCTCCTGGGGCGCTCCAGCACCCTAGAGGACCCTGCCCCACGCAGACCCTGGGGGCGGGTGGGGCTGGGACGTGGGATGCAGATGGAAGTGGCCCTGACCTGAGCCCCAAGCTCAACCTCAGCCCCACCGCACCCACTGGGCCCACCCCAGCCCCACCCCTGGGGCACCGTTGGGTTTGCTCCTGGCGGCCGTGCACGTCACCCTCCAGTCTGCGGAGCTGCTCCTGCGTCCCCTCCAGCTGCGTCCGCAGCGCCTCGTTGGCCAGCCACAGCTGGGCGTTCTGCGCCTGCGCCTCCAGCTGCTCCGTGGCCCGGGCCTGCAGCTGCTGTTCCAACTGGGGAGTCGTGGGGGAATCGAGGCTGGGGAGGACCCACCCTCTTCCCCGGGTTTGCTGGTTTGCCCCTGACTCCCAACAGTCCGAGGCTGGGGATACTGTGGCACAGGGGACCTCGAGGATACCAGGGAGTGCAAGGTGACGATGGAGATGGGGGACATGGGCTGGGCCGGTCTGCAACCCTTCCCAGCGGAGTGGGCCGGCGGCCGCTCACCTCCCGCTGCCGCAGGCTCGCGCGTTCTAGCTCCTGCTCGCGGCTCTGCAGCTCCAGCTCCAGACAGCCTCTCCACTCCTCCCGGGGGAGGTCCTGGGACACACCGGGGACATCTGAGCCTCCGCGGGCCTCAGAGGGGCAGGGGTCAGAAAAGACGGAGCCCGGCGACACCCGTGTCTGGGATTGGGCTGGGCGGGGGCGGGGCTGCGGGCCCACCTGACTCTGCAGGCGCTGGCGCTGCTCGCGGAGCTGCTGTTCTGTCTCCTCGTACAGACACCGCACCTCTCGCTCGTGCTCGCTCTCCCGCCTTCGAAGGACCCGGGGTGACGCTGCTGCTTAGAACCTACCAGCACTACATGCCCCAGCCCCAGCCCCAGCCCCTACCGCCTCCCGGAGCCCCGTCCTGGTCCCCAGCCCTCACCGCCGCAACGCCTGCTCTAGGCCGTCCCGCTCTCGGGCCGCCTCCTCCAGGCAGGCCGACGCACGCATCAGAACGTCCTCGAAGAAGCCCAGCAGCTCCGGCCGCTCGCGCTGCAGCCGGGTCCAGAGCGTCCGCACCACCCGCTGCCTGGAGAGGTGAGCAGGGGCTGAAGATGAAGCGGGAGCTCCCTGAGTTCCCGGAAGGTGACTCCTGCAGCCCTGGGCAAGCCAAGCACGTTTCCCGCATGCAGAGCATTCCTCTCCTGGGTGCTCATGCCCCTGCCTGGTCTATGTGCGTGTGCGGGGCTGGGGTGGCAGCGAGGGGTCGTGTGTACAGTGGGGCTGTGCGGGCGTGTACAGGCCATGTGCCCCGCGCTGCCCCTCCTCACCGCAGCTGTGGCTACTGCCTCCTAAAATGCAAATTCTGCGGGAAATCACGCCTGGCCCCTCCCAGGTTGTTGCAGCTGAGACAGAACTGCTGGGCCAGACCCGGCCTGGGGACTCTGTGCAGAAGTGCAGGCGAGGTGGACAAGCAGCATGCAGACAGAGGTCACAGGCGAGGGAGCTGGGGGCAGCGCCAGCACGGACTCACTCGCCCAGGACCGGGGCCACGCCCAGCTGCTCCAGCGCTGCGAAAAACCGCTCCTCCTCCTCCTCCTCCTCTTCCTCCAGGAAGGCCCCCATGCCTTGCACCTCTGACCAGCCTGACTCAAAGGTCTCCTCAGAAGCCCTGGAGGGCAGTGCGCCCTGGGCCAACTCCACTCCCACAAACTTCCCTGTTGGCATGGGAGGGAGAGATGACCAGGGCTGTGAGTTACCACTCTGCTCAGCCTCCTCTCGCCACCCCCCCCCACACACACACATATCCTGCCCTTTCTCTGAGCCCAGTTTCCTGTTTTTCTTCCTTATTCTGGTTTAATTCTTGGCCTGGGAATGGGAGGTGACAGCTGGGCTCCGGCCAGAATGGACGGCTGGCTTCCAGCCCCACCTGGGTTTGGCAGGCGGGGGGGGGGGAGCAAAAGGGTCAGCTTCACACACACCGCAGCAGCTGGGGGACTGCCCGTGGCGCCTTCCTGTGACGCCTGTGTATACGGACACCAGTACGTGTTCCCAAGGGTGGCAATGGTGAGGCACAGGCTGTGGGCCCCGCAGAGCCCACATGGGCCAGCGGAGGGTCATGGGTGGGGGGCAGGGTGGGGACGATGAGGGCGGGGCTCACCCAGGCCGAGGCAGAACTCTCGGGCAGTAAGGAAGCCTGTGCGGGCCTGGTCTAGACTTTCAAACACAGCCTCCAGCTGCTCCGGCGTGAGGCGCAGGTCGCTCTGCAAGGCCTAGCCAGACAAGGATGCAGGGCTGAGTAGCCAAGGTAGTTCTGAGCTGGGGCAGCCTCTTGGGACTGGGGACTCACCTGCAGGTCGTGCCGGGTGATGAAACCCTTGGCCTCCTTGTCACACAGCAGAAACAGTTCCTGGGCCTGCGCCAGCATGGCTGCCCGTGGCCCCACGGAGCCCCCCTCTTGCTCCCCTTCCTCCTCCTGGGCCTCTCCAGCCCCAGGCTTCCCAGGGCTGGCCATGAAAGAGGGTTCTCGGCCCTTGGCTGCTGCGAAGCCAGGAGTCAGGCCCTGAGCAGAGCTCAGGGCAGAAGGAAAGGCAGAGAGGGTGAGGTGTGAGGCGTGAGGGCTAAACTGCCTCCACGAGGAGCTGGGCGTGAGCAGAGGGTCCTCCTGGCCCCAGGTGGGAAGGTGGAGGA